TGTGTGACTAGCTGTTAAGGTAATGGTGTGCATGTGTGTGTGTGCACGTGCATGTGTGTGTGTGTGTGTGTGTGTGTATTTAAAAACAAGAAGCATCCTTTTCATCTTTTTGATTATATTATATGTTATTTTCATCTTTTGAATATATATATGTATATATATATTTTTCTGATTATATATTTCTTGCCTGTGCAATTTCTAGACCATCAAGTCATATACTCTCACTCCTTTGTGGTGTACTGTTAGGCCTTTGGCTCAAATAGTAATTCTTAGATTAATCAAGCAACCTTTGATCTGCTGACTATACTGTACCCTTCCCTCTTCCCACCCTAGCGGCCCTCTGTATCCACTTCTGTGCACACAAACATCAGTGGACTAAGGCCCCAAATATCTGGTTCCAGAACTGTAGAAATCACAGAGTAATGGTTTCCAACAATTGCTGCACATTCAAGTCACCTAAAGATTCTCATGTTAAGGTCCCATGTTGGGGTCCTGATTCAGTCTGTTTGAGGCAAACATCTGGTACTTACTGAAAACACTGTAGGTGGTTCTAATGCAAAACCAGGGTGAAACTCTTTCATAGAAGGTGCACATGACTTTCCTCAAATAAGTCAAAAGCCTCAAAGGCTCCCTCCAAACCCACCTGGCTCTTAGCATCTTGCTCTGTGGCCCACCTCTTCAAGGCCACGAGGGTGCCTGTAAATTCACTGTGCTTGTCACACCTAGGCCTTAATAGATGACAAACTTGCTTCATCCATGAGGTTTAATAAAAAAGGCAGATCTTTTATGCTTTCTATCACCCTGCAGTTAGTGGTGGGCATATGTGCCTGACTAGTATCTCTAGGATGTCTTCAGGGACCCTTCTCATGAGTTATTAGCAATGTGTCTTTATTAGCATTGGATTGGACATATTATCCAGCACTGTCAGTTTCACAGCATCTATTAATGATATGGATGGACTTTCTGTGCTTTCAAAGAAGTAACCTTTCTTGCTCATGTGGCAAGGAAGGGAGGAGGGGGCCCTGCTAGGGGCCCTATTGCAATGATTGGTAATTTTCCAGGTCTCATAAAATGCAGTTAACAATGGGAATATGTGAACCAAAGAGGTTTATTGTTTTGAAATCTGACTCACATTTGAACAATTATGATCAGCAGAGATCTGATTAGCACCAAAATACCTACTATTAAGATCCTAAACTATGAGCGAGAGAAAAGAAAATCCAGGTATCTATTTAAAATGGAATCAGGGGTGTACTCTCTGTGTTCCTGATCACAGTAAGAAGAAATAAGGAGCACTGACAGACAACTCTGATGGTTGGAAGGAGATGCATCTGAGAAAAGAGTCCCAATTCTTTGACCTGTAGGCTGGTGACTCAGCTCCAAGAGAATCCTTTCTCCTTCAGCCTCAGTTTGTTCATCAGTAAATAGAGGATTACAGCACTGACCTCAAAAGCTTGTAGGGAGGGACTAAATCAGATAATGTATGTGAAAGTTTCTTTGCAAGCTTGGGAGCACTATATAATTATTAGCTATGCCTAGCTGTTTGAGAAACTGGCTTTCTTAATGAGCAGCTCAATTAACCTGCATGTTGTCCACATCCCGGAGGCCATCCTAGGCTGGAATGGGTGCAGGGCCTGTGCAAGGATATCATCCTCAGACACAACCTCATGCCTTCTCCTCTGAGCCACTGTTGAGCTCAGAGAGGCTTTCTGAGCATGAGAACGACGAAGTGTGATCAGAGAGGGGAAGAAAAGAAGGCAGCCCCAGGAAGCTGATGGGAAGGACTTTTCTCTGGGACCCGCTGGTGGCAGTGGGGTGGGGAAGAGGAGGGTAGAAGAGCAGCTTCGGGGGGAAAGGGACTTACCTGCAATCACCTAGAAGGTTGTATACCAAGCTTTCCACGCACTTTTCAGGCCATGCCATGTTTCCAACTGGGTGTGACAAAAATTCTATGTTTGGTCAAGCTTTAGTCTGGCTCCTTCCTGAAACTTCTTCCTGGCTCATCTCTGCATTTCCTTGTAGGATCTAGTTTTAGCAAAGCACAAGGCTAAGCCAATTTAGCAAGACTCCCTACCTTCCAGCTGTCTGATTACCCTCAATATCTGATGAGGTTCCTTACCCTGCAGCATCCCCCAGGCCATGTCTGGTCACCCTGGCCTGTCTTCAGCAGAATCCTGTTAGGTCAGATTCACCAGAATTCCCCTTTCACCAGGTGTTTCCTCCTGTTAATTTTCCATCCACTGACCCCACCCTCCCCCTGCTTACCCTGGCTGTATTTGGAGTGAAGCCCAACCTCTGGCCTCCCCTGCAAGACTCCATTGCAATGGGGCCAGGGATTTAGCTCAGCGGTTTGGTGGCCTGCCTCTCAAGCACAAGGACCCGAGTTCAATCCCCGGTACCACACACACACACACACACACACAAGGACTCCATTGCAATGGTTTCTATGCCTATCAGGATGGGACTGAATAAAGTTTTCATAAGTGTGATTTAATCACTACCATTGAGTTATTATGTTCTTTAACAGGTGGATCTCTAGGAGTGTGTTGGGGAGATGCTAGGTTCTGAACCCTATACTGCCTTGATGAGCCTTGAACTCCTGGGGAAAGGACTCGGGTGGCAGCTGATGATAGAGAGCCCAATGTGCGTCTCATTTCTTGCCCACTCATTGTCACGACCAAGTAGAAGGGAGAGTGGCCCCAGAGCTTGCACTAGAGAGGGGCTCCGAAGACTCTTTGTCCCAGCAGGAGATCTCTTGGCTCAATATTTTGCTAACGCTCCAAGAGAGTCCGGAGGCCGAGTCCCTTCTCACATGTGTGGACATACTTCTTCGTGGTCTCTTTCTCCAGAGTAAATGCTGGACAGTGGCTTGAGAAGCCAGCAGGTGATCAAGCAGGAAGGCTTTATTATGGCTGAGCTCCCATTCCCTTTCTATTAATCTTATGACATAGTTTCTCCATTCACAATCACCAGTTTAGCCTTTCTGTCAAGTTACCACCAGACCCTTCTGTGGGAGTGTTGAGGAAACATAGGCAGCAGGGCTCAGAGATGGAAGTGGGCCCCAGGCTGAGGTCAGATGCAGGGTTCTTGCACTGATCCTCATAGGGGACCCAAGATACCCTTCTGCTCCTCTGTGGGGTAGAAATGCTGATGTAGCAAGCCCCCTCCTTCCTTATACCCTTGCAGAAGACAATCGATAACATTTTTCTGCTGCTGATGAGGTGCTGGGCTGGGCACCAGGGTTGGCTTCACGTTCCTCTCCAAAGCTAGAGAGGAAATCTGCCCCTGCTCCTCTCATTGTTCAGATGAGATGACCGCAGCATAGACAGGATAAGTGGGCTGTTCAGAGTCACGTGCCTCGGTACATGGCAGTACTACGAGCCGCACCCTGTGGGCATATGAGGTCAGACTGGTTTTTTGTTTTGGCACCGGGGATCGAACTCAGAACCTTGTGCTTGCCAGGCAGGTGGTGGTGGTGCCACTGAGGTAAATCCCCAGTCCCTAGAACAGACTGTTTTTGAAGACAGACCCTTCCATTTACCCTCTTGCAACAGACCAGGAGAGCTTTAGGGATTGGATTTCCTCGAGGCACAGTGATAGCAACTTTGACTCTACACATTAGCTTCTCAGACTGTTCAGCAGCAGATAGCTTAACACCGGGGAGAAATTTAGCCTTTATCTAAGCTGACCTGCTTTTGAGAGAAACACAAAATAAGTTGAGAGCCACGACTCTAATCCTTGATCGCATTAGCCCAATGACACTGCCACTTTAATCTAAGTGGTTCGTGGGCAAAGTGGGTCAATCCAGCTTTGGTGCTGCAGGGACAGCTGCAAGTGCTGGGAAAGAGTCTTCCCGAGGACAGAGCAGTCGTCCTCTGCACCTGCTGTAGGCGGTGTGCTATGAGAAGGTGCTTGCTCTTCCCAGGGAATTGTCCTTTTTGGCTCATGTGAGAGATAGTTTTTATCATAATTTTTCCATATGTGCTCAAATCACAGTGTCAGTGGATTAGGCTAGTTTGAAGCCAGGAATTTAGACGGTTCCACTGAGAAGTAAGTATGTGGTCAGAAAGGATGTGGGGAATTGTCTGTGTTGTCATTGTCCTTGTCACCATTGCCGTTGTCACCCTCCTCTTCTTCTATCTCCTACTCTCTCCCGACTTGATATCTTGTAACCAAAGCCTCACATCATTAATTCGTGTAATCAGTGTAATTCTGAGATGCTACCACAAAACTGCTTTTTGGGCCAAATACCACGACTTGTATCTACTGTGGGTTGTTAACAGTAACCTGCAAAAGTCCACTGCTTTTGTTTAATGCTGTCACAGGTATCTTCTAAGTCGTCGTTGCTTTTCAACGGATTCTAGAGTATTTTCGAAAATGTCTAGAGTCATGTCTCATGCATGGTGTGTTCGTATGGGTTAGACTTAGCTGAGTTCCCCAGGTTTTTTGGTGCTCTGTTGCTTTTGGGAGAAAAGGCATTGTATTGGTGGGCACCGTGGTAGAAAGTCGGTACAACCTGGCTGGACCAGGGGGATGCTTGCTTTCCAGTACCTACAGCATATTTGTCAGGGCCTGTGAAAGAAAGGCTTACAGATAGTGAAATCTGAGGCCCAGGGGCTATGTTTAGGGAAGGCACAAATCCAGAGGCCAAAGTCATTTGTGTTTTGACATCCATGTTTGGGGCAATTCAAAACCTCAGTATACTGATACCCCAAATTAAATAAAGGAGCGATGACACCCACTCCAGGATCTTAGAGAAACTGTATCTGGCTCTTCTACCTTGCCTGAAAGTGCCTTCACATTACAGTAGATAGGGTCTGGTTACCATACTTTCCATGGGACGTTAATGTCCCTCCAATTGTAACATTCTGCTTGCATATTTACATGTCTCTACAACACTTCTCAGTGTAACAAGGAGTCAGGATTAAGTGTTGACCTTGACAGGAGGGGTGAAGGAGGCAGCACTTCTGATCCCAGATTCTTTTGTTTCCTTTTCACAGGGACCTGATGCCGAGGACCCTGGAGGGGCAGATCACCATGGAGAAGACGCCCAGCTACTTCGTCACTCGGGAGGCGCCCGCGCGCATCTCGGCCATGTCCAAGGACACCAAGCTCATCGTGGTGGTGCGGGACCCGGTGACCAGGGCCATCTCGGACTACACGCAGACGCTCTCCAAGCGGCCCGACATCCCCACCTTCGAGAGCTTGACGTTCAAAAACAGGAGCACCGGCCTGATCGACACGTCGTGGAGCGCCATCCAGATCGGCATCTACGCCAAGCACCTGGAGCACTGGCTGCGCCACTTCCCCGTGGGCCAGATGCTCTTCGTGAGCGGCGAGCGGCTCATCAGTGACCCGGCCGGCGAGCTGGGCCGCGTGCAGGACTTCCTGGGCCTCAAGCGCATCATCACCGACAAGCACTTCTACTTCAACAAGACCAAGGGCTTCCCCTGCCTGAAGAAGGCCGAGGGCAGCAGCAAGCCCCACTGCCTGGGCAAAACCAAGGGCAGGACCCACCCCGAGATCGACCGCGAGGTGGTGCAGAGACTGCGCGAGTTCTACCGGCCCTTCAACCTCAAGTTCTACCAGATGACCGGGCACGACTTTGGCTGGGATTGAACGGACTGTACCTGTGACGTTTATCATGTGGTTTATATATTACAAGAGATTATATGTATGTAAAATGTACAGAAATCTATTTTATAATAATTTATTTTTAATTCATAAGCAATTAATTCACTAAGCTGCCTAGCCACACTCTTTAGAGAGTTAGCTTCATGATCTGTTAACATTCCAAAGTGTTTAATTCTGATGTTTTGCTCTATGCCTCACAATTGATGGTGCTTCCATTTTTCCCCTTTCCCTCCCCATTATATTTAAAAAGAAGAAAAGCACAACTTGAGATTTTTTTTGTTACGGGTATTCAGCCTTCAGTTGCTGTCCCAGTTCTCTGGTTGCTGTCTGCTTGCGTCTGGGTCTCCGTGCTCCAGCTTCCAGTTTTTGCTTGCGAACCTCCTAAGAGCTCTGAGCTGCCTCCACTGTGCTATATTCTGAAGTCAGACCTCACATAGCAGCTTCCTAATCCATGTGTAATCATTTCCAAGGAGGGAGACTCCAAACCACCGTGCTGAGGGTTTCCCTCACCTCTACCGAGCATGTGGGGCACCCCCCCCCATGCAGTGTTGTCGGTATCCTTTTAGAGTTCGAATGACAGGGCCCATTTCCTTTAGCCTTCGATGTTGAAGGATGGCCCATCATCCCCTTCTGTCCTATCCTTGGTCCATTAACAGCTTGATGTGTGTGCAAATGTTAGTCCCTTTCCCAGGCCACATGCTTGGGTGCTGCTTGAGAAATAAAGGTGATCTTTTCTAATTTGCATGAGCGTGCACCGTGCTCTTTTCTCCAGGCAGACAGTTCTGCTGTGACACACCAAAGAATTCCATAGGCTTGCAGAGCCACTGGCACAAACCCAAGGAAGGCACTGGATATTGGGACCTATAGGGGTCAGGTGCATCTCTTGCCATCAGCATCTACCAAGCTGTGGCTAGGTGCAGAGCTGTTGCTAGGTGTAGGCTCACAGCCTCACAAAGGAGAAAAGACAAAGACTCAAAACTGGAAGGCAGCCTGGCAGAGGAAGGATCTCCCTGCATCCCAGATTGCTGTTGCTTTGGGATTTGTAGCGCCTCTCAGAATGACCATGTGGCCTGTAGATAATTCCAGTAGCAATAACGAGGAGTGGCCCTTTTAAAGGCATAAAAGCTAGTCCCATGTCCTGTAGTCTTTGGGCCAGAAACTTGTACAGCTGTCCTGTTTCAGCTTCCTGTTCAGAAGAGATGCCAGCATCGTTACTACTGTGCAGAAGGCTCTCCCCATCCCTCTGTGGTGCAAGTGCAGATAGGGATCATTTATGATGAGCAGCTGGTGGCAACTGGATAACCATATAGTGACATCATATAATGACTTATTTAGCTAATCTTCAGTTCTCTATACCAGAGTACTTCTGTTACAAAAAAAATTGTTATTTGAGCTATACTTTCCTCAAAGAACATGTGGGAAGATGTACTGATTGTCAAACTTGTGATATTTATAGAGGAAGCCTTTGTATGTTGAGCAGGACAACTTGACCGAATGGGTAAGAAAAGTTATATGAAAAGAGGAGAGAATCATTTATATCTAGAAACTAATCCAGAGATGTTACTGGTCTTTAAAGTGACATTTTGATAATCTGGTTTGTATTTGTCCACACACTTTAGCCCAACTCTTAGCAGCAAAAATATCTGGACAGGTTGAGTTTAGGGAGGAAGGTGAGCAGAGGCGCTGTGTATTCCCTAGGTGTTGTATCAATTTTATAGAGTGTTTTTATTGTCTTTACAAAATGATGTGGAACCTGCACTTCAGGGCAACACGTTATCATAGTGCATTCTCCAGTCTTGCTGCTCGGGTGTGAATGACACCCACATAAGGGTGCTAATAAGTTGTGCATTTTCTGTTTGGCAGGCTCACCTACAATCAAAGTGTGAACACTTCTTTTCAGTTAGAGCATAACCTTGCTTTGAAGTAAGGCAGTATCCAAGTCCTCCACCAAATCTTGCCCTGTTGACTTCCTGGCCACTCTCATGGTCTAACCGGACTCAAGATATAATTGGATTCATGGTGTAGACTTGCAGAATAGTCCGGAGAAGGTTGTGCAACAACCAGAGGAAAGCATGTATGAGCTTTTGCTTCCTCTTCAGGTCCCTGACCTACTTAACTGGACAAGTTTTGATTGTTTATTCCCAGCTTTACAATAAAACTGAAACAGGAAATGTTCAGATAGGAAGGTCATTTAGGCATGAACACTGAAGTGGCTCAAAATTCTATTCCAGGCGAAAGTCCTTGAATTCAAACAGATGTCGATAATTAGCACTGATGGAATAGGACACATTTTTCCAAGTAAGACAAATAAATGAAACATCACGTGCATCTCTTAGGCTGCGATAGATTGTAGCTCCTGATTGATCTGGGTGATGCAGCTGCTGGAGATTATCCCTTATCATGTGATAGTTATTACAGCCCTGCCTGCCTTCTTGGAAAGTCAGGCAGCACAGAAGATTGAATCTTGGGTTTCTTCCTCTGCTAGCCATCTGTAAGGCCATCAAGTTTAATAGTTTAGCTGCTAGAAGACAAACACCACGTCATGTTTTGGCAATTAATTCCAACACATGTTTTGGGTTTCTTTCATTTTAAAGAAAAAGCCCTGGTATTCACTGGAATGCTTTATTCTCAGTTTTGTTCCTTTCCTCATTTAAGAACAAGAAAAAAAGATGAACAAAAGAGAGGTAATTTCTGTCTGTCGACCATTTCCTTTGAGGTGTTTGTGTATAGTCAACTGTTAACAGAATAGGTAGTGCCTGGAAAGGTATTTTAAGACTATGTAATAAGTTCTTAATTGGATGATTGAGGAGGAGAAATTGTCTAATTCATGGGATTCTCTTTATGAGTCATTTTGAGTGGCAGATAAATTTAGACCTTTGGAGAAACACACTTACAGATGCTTCTGGGATGTTCTGGTAAGAAAGGAAAATGGAAGTTTCTAAAGAGTTGGGAACACTTTAGTATGTTTCTAAGATGCTGATGTGGAAGTCAATATTGTTTCTTTTTTCATTTTCTCAATAAGAATGTTTAATACAATTTAAAGGTGTGCTTAGATTTCCTTTCACTTTTGTAACATTAATTTATGACTGAGTTTCTTTCAGCCCCATAATCTAAAATACTGTGCAAATTCTAGCAGTGTGTCTTCTATAACCTGGATGTTAGAATAGCCAATATGTACAAAAAATTAAATCAAGTATTTTGTTCTATGTATAACACAAATTAATTTTACACAGAGAAAGATGTTTCTAGGAAAATGAAATTCTGGTAATTCATACTGTTTCTTTGTATGAACAAATAAAATATATTTTACCAACTTGTGGGGACTTTTATGTTTTACTGTATGGCAGATAGAGCAGGTAGTAACATTTTATTCAGTGCGTAGTTATGTTATCAGGTATTCCTTCAGAAATGGCTCACCCATTCAACATAGTCCAGGTTTTTCTTTCCTGAAACAAAGAATTGGATGACAAAAGCCAAAATGGTGCCAAAAGTTTATTTTAAATGCGAGGAGTGAAGGGGTAAGAAAAGGACTAGCACCTTAGAGCAAACTTGGGCTGAACAATGAGAGGAAAGGATCAAAGAGCATCCCGCGAGACACAGTGGACCGCTGTGAGGAGTCACCATAGCAGGCTTCCATTGTACCTCATCTCTTTTGCGTTATCCACATCCCATGGGAGCCTGCCAGGTCCTGGGAATGGCGTGATAATGTCCTGGGTTCTCGTAATTGACAGGTGCCACTTATTTCCCCAGACTGTTTTGCCACACCCCACCTCTTACATCAATCACACATGCGTATGCACAAAAAGTCACTCTTTGCACATTTATTTTTCAGGTTTTAGAGGGCCCAACCCAAAAGCCAATTATTCCACAAGTGTTTAAGATGAATTTTTTGTAAATGACTAAAGGCAAAAGAGGGAGAGAGAGGTTTGTACCCTGGAAGAGCTTAACCTCCATCCCCACATAGGGTCCAACAATACCAAGACCACACACTCAGGCCAAAGCAGGTGCACGAAGGCCAGTCACATGTCACATGGTAAGTGGGCTGTGGGTGAGCCCCTTTGGGTGAATCTGTATAGTAGCATTGCAGTATGGCCTTTTTTCTGTGGAAATCATTTTCTGTGACCAAGAGACAGAAAGGCACTGGGCAAGAAAATCTGTATTTTTAGTTTGTCTCAAACTGCCTTCTGTTTCCTTTGAGCATAGCAGCGCATCTATACGATTACTGCTTACTACAAATATTTGTATTATTGACTTAATTTTAAAAGAAACTTATGGTTTTAAGGGAGAAGCTATAATTTCTTGCCATAAAAAGGTGATCATAAAATACAGAGCAAACAAATGTTATTCATTTCTAGCTAGATAGTATAGGTGCGGTTTTAGCAGTCTTTGCCTTAGGCTCAATGCTCTGGCTGGCAAGACTGGCATCTAACTGAGCTATGCATCTTGACATGAAGAATGAAGGAGGATTGAAGAAGGAAAGCTTATATGGTGTCATTTAGTGTTGAGCCCATGCATACATTAAACACTGGGGTCCTTCCCTCTCCATCCTTTCCTGTAGCACTCTGTTGCCTCACACTTTGGGGACCTGAGAATCACACTGAGAGAACATCTTGGGGAGAGGCACAGAATTGGAAAGTAGGCTAGCCTTTGTGGAAGGAAAATATGACTAACATGGCCAAGAGGAGGCAAGTTGTTTAATTAGCATTTGGTTTTTAGAAGCCAGCATTTCATGGAGATGGGGCTCCTTCAGACCCAGGAATAACCCACCCAGTGAAATATGTGTGTGCCTTAAATGGTGACATGACTTTGCACCCATCCCATCAATTTATGATTTTTCTACAGAAAGGTAGTAAAATGGACCTAAAAATCTACTTATTAACCTGATGGCTCAGTTCAGAGAAGGTCAAATAATCAAATGACTTGGAGAAATATTTTAAAAATTCTTAACTTATGAACAAATCCTCAGTAGCACTGGAACTAGCAGAAAGAATCAACAGGTGGGATCTCATCTTATTAAAAAGATTCTGTACTGCAAAAGAAACCATCAACAGAACTAAGAGACAACCTACAATGTGGGGAAAAAATTTTTACCAGCTGCTCCTCAGACAAAGGGCTATTACCTAGAATATATAAAGAACTCAAAACAACCAGCCCCCCCCAAATATAAAGACCCATTTAAAAAATGGGCACCTGAAATGAACAGACATTTCTCAGACAAATAAGTCAAAGCAGCAAGTAAATATATGAGAAAATGTTCCACATCAATGGTCATTCCAGAGATGTAGATGAAAACAACACTGAGATTCCACCTCACCTCACAAAGAATGGCTGCTATCAAGAAATCACACAATATCAAATGCTGGTGCGGTTGTGGGGAGAAAGGAACCCTTCTCCATTGTTGGTGGGAGTGCAGACTGGTGCAACCACTATGGAAATCAATATGGAGATACCTCAAAGAGCTGGGACTAGAGGTTCCATTTGACCCAGCCATAGCTCTGCTGGGTATCTTTCCAAAAGAACTAAAAGAATCATATCACAGGGACATATGCACACCTATGTTTATAGCAGCACAGTTTGTAATAGCTAAAACTTGGAAACAGCCCATTTGCCCATCTGTTGATAACTGGATAAAGAAGATGTGGTTTTTCTATAAAATGGAATACTACTCAGCCATAAAGAACGAGAAATTAGAGTCATTTGTAGGAAAATGGATACATTTTGAGGACATACTCCAAAGTGAAATAAATAAGTCACACATGTGTAAATACCGAATAATTCTCTGGTGTGAAAAACTATAATACTACTCAAGATCTTAATGGGATAATTAATAATGTGAAATAGGAAGAAAAGGGCTAAAGGTGTAGGGAAAGTGGGAAGGGTAGGGGAAGGGGAATAGGGAAAAGAAAAAAATGTGAGAAAATGAAAAAAATGGAATTAAAGGGCTGGTAAATGGGGAGGGGAGAAGGGGGTGAAGGGAGGGCATGGACAAGGGGAAAAAATGAGAACCAAGACCTGGCATGTAAAGGTACAAGATCCCAATGATGAATGTAACTGTACTGTCTACCTAGAATGTACCAATAAACTCAATTTAAAAATTTCTCAACCCAACAAATTTACAGTTAGCATTTCTAGAGGTTGAGGCTCTGGTATAGACAAGTTGGACACCCCAGTCCAAAAGTCTGAAATCTTAATTGCTCCAAAATCCAACTCTTCTTGACCACTGACATGTCACAAGTGGATAATTCCACACGTGACCTCATGTGATGGGCTGCAGGCAGTACATAAGCCCACTAATACTTATACACTAAATAGTGTATAAAATTACCTTCAGGCTGATGTGCATAAGGTGTATATAAAACATAAATGAATTTCTTTAGATCTGGGTTTTATCCCCAAGATACTTTATTATATATGTGCAAATATTTAAAAGTCTGAAAAAAATCCAAACTCTGACACACACCACTTCTGTTCCCATGCATTTCAGATGAGGGATACTCAGCCTGTATTTCAAAGGGCCTCCTGCAATTCTAAAGCACAAACAAGGCTAAGAGCTATTGGTTTGCAATTCTTCCTGATACACATCAGTATCACTTGGAAACTTGATAGATATGAGAATTCCTCAGTTGTACAGAATCAGAAATGCTGGTTCCCTGGTTAACAAGCCCTCCCAGTGATTCTGATTGACATGAAAGTTTGAGAACCACTATGTGAGAGCATAGATTTCATAGCACTTTAAATCTAGAGACCTGGGATTCATAATTAAGTATGTTTTCTTCTGTACCATGCTTTTTTGTCAAAAAAAAATCAATCATTAAATAGTGGACCCCTTATAACTCTGGATCCTTTTTAAGATAAACCCTCACATAGTAGCTATTGCAGTATTTTGCACAGTGCCAAGCCCACCTGGCCTTCTCTGCTGGGCTGTACCTCTATCATCAGACATGCCCCCAGCTGTCACCAGGATGTGTTCACAGAACTACATGAAACTGGAATGCTAGACATATAAGGGATTTTTGAAAGACATATAAACTTCTTTAAATCCCTGATTTAATCTTACTTTCTAGTCAGTCCTCAACAGTATATCCCCAGTGATCAATAATTATTTCTTATATTTCACATTTGAACGCATTGCCTAGCAAAATACAATAGTTGGTCATTCAAGATGACAGAGTCTCCCCGTGACAGTAAGCTCACCTCTACCTATAGTTCTGATTACTGGCATCTAGTTTCCTTCTTTTCTCCATTGTCATTAATTAATATTGTGCACAAAAGACAGAAAGATACTCATTGATTGCACAAAGTCATTTGTCGTTCCATCTTTGGGCATATAGCTTGCGTTCCCCACTTGAGAGCATGGATGTTTTTGCTCTGATCCAATAGAGTATTTTCTGTGAGTTAAAAGTGGCATTAGAACCTCAGTGTATAAGGTTTCCTGAAAAAGGTGAATATATAGAATTAAATTTTCTCCCCTGTGGGAAGATTAGTCTTCTAAATTTTTCCTTTCGGCCCCCAGCACTTCCTGTTGAGCATCTCCCTTGTTGTGTAGAAGCTGTTTGTAATTCTTCCAAGAATTCCTGACTTCTTTACATGCTTTCTGTTGCAATATATTCAAGTTGAGAAGAAAGGGTAAGGAGCCTCTTTGGAAGCAGTAAAGAACAGGAAGCCTCCAGAGATTCCTGAAAAGAGAGGCACAGAGTGTTTACAGAACCGTCCACTGGCTGTATTTCCTGTGAGCTGGAGCAAGAATAGGCTGAAATTAGAGGTCGATTCATTCATTCCATATTTTACCAAATGCCTACAGCTGCTAGGAACTCAACTTCCAAGGCCCTCAGCTGATTAGATGAGGCCCACCCTTCAGAGAAGATCTTTCCCACTCAGTTTGTTGATCCATATGTCAATATTCTGCAGAAATACCCTCCAGACACACCAGAAAGCATGCTTTATTAGTTCTCTAAGCATTTCTCAATCCATCAGGGTGACACACATCTGTGATCGCAGCACTCTGGGGGCCAAGGTGGGAAGATCATAAGTTCAAGCTCAGCCTGAGCAATTTAGCAACTTTGCAACTTTTTAAGACTAAGACCCTATCTCAAAAAAACAAACAAACTGCAAAAGGGCTGGGGATGTAGCTCAGTGGAAGGTTCTGGGTTCAGTTCCCAGAAACACATTCAAGCTGACATCAGAAATCAACCATCACTCATGGGGAACTGGACTAGGAATACCTGGGCTGATATAGGTCAGGGTAGG